CATGTGCACACACACACACACACACACACACACACACACACACACACACACACACACACATAAATACACACATGTGCACACACACACACACACAACCCTCCACAATAATAATTGAAGCCCAGTGTGATGATTGACCACCAACCTGTCTCATACTTTCAGCACAAATGATACAACCAGTGGACATAAATACCGAGCTCAGATCTCAGTGAAAGGCAATCCAGAGGAATACCAAGTCAAATGCAGTTGCTAACTTCATAGAGAGGGGTGGGAAAGAAGAGGAAGAGCCATGAGCGAAAACAACTCCCAGAGAAAAAAATGCATTGTTCACCCCACCTCAAATTGTGCACGAAAACAATTCCCAGAGAAAAAAATGCATTGTGCAACCCACCTCAAATTGTGCACTTGCAAATCCAGGATCAAAGGGACGCAAAGGATGTCCTCCTGGTCCAGGCACTGGCATGAAGCCCTGAAGGGGACCACCTCTCCCAATGGCACCTAGTGGTGCAGGTGGTCTTCCTGGGCCCATGATTCCTCTTCCCATAGCACCCCTTCCATGAAGCTCGCCAGGGTTTACCATCATTCCAGCTGCAGCACACGGCCATTATACGTACGTTAGAAAAATGAAGTCGTCTTCCGCCTCACCCCCTTCCCCACGATATGCCTCACATCCACACCAAACAAATCCTTATCGAACTTGGGAATTGAGGTTCAGGGAACATGCTGAGGAGGAAAGACGAAAACCGATGCATGCCCATCAGGACACACTTCATTTTGCGCAAAAAAGCTCCAATGACAACAGATAGGTCAAGACAAGACCTGCCCGTTCTGGTCAGTCCCTCACTGTTTCAACAAATGTATACTCTCCACTGATTAAGCAACGAGGTTTCTTTTGCGGATTCGCCGGAGCCACTACCTTCTTCCCCCGAATACAACGCACGGTCATTATAATCGTATTTAGACTGAAAGATGCCCCAAATACAGCTATCTTAATGACCGTGTGTTGTATTCGGGGGAAGAAGGTAGCCAATCAAACATTCAGATCAAGCACGAACAGATTTCACAACGCACGGTCCTTATAACTGTATTTAGACTAAAAGATGCCCCATATAAAACTATAATGCCCGTGCGTTGTATTCGGGCGAAGAAGGCAGCCAATCAAGCATTCCGATCCAGCACGAACAGATTCCACAATGAGCAAGCATGCTCGCTAATTGTGACGTGCAACCATGTTCATAGAAGGCTTTTCTTTTCGATATTCACGCCTTAAACTGATACATCCACACATCTACCAACCATTTAACAAGCCTTCATTCATGAGTGCGTACGCGTTCAAGACCTGATCGGTCAACCAAGATAGAGAACAGTGTGCACATCATTTGCAGACTTGTTCGCAACTATAACCGCCAGCCCGCCCACCAAGTTACGCCCTCAATAACTCCATCATGAGGGTGTCCTGTGAAATCCAGCAGAGGTAATCCAACAACACCCCTGAGGAAATAGCGCATCTGACCCACACAAAGCTCTGCCATACTTTCCTGTGTAAAAACTAGTTTCCACTGTCCCCAAACCACAGTTTTGCCAAACTCTGGTGAGGTGAAACTTTTCAAAACAGGCCCTTGTCGAAGGGCGCACATTTTGCAAGTACGAAGATATCGGTTCAAGCCGGATCGTTTTCAAACCACTGTCTCGAATCGCAATGCGGCGATGACCCCTTGCTGTCTTCAATTGCGATGCAGTGATGCGGGTCCGCCAACAGAGCTCGTCTTTGCAGCTTACCTCAGCCGCCTCCAGGCCAATTCCGCAAAATACCATGGACCCATGTATACGGGCATAACGCGGAGAAGCATGTGTACCAATAGCGGTTTCAACCTTGACCGCTGCCTTGTCAAGTCCATCGCGCTCTCACCAGTTGTCGGTGCCACACCCCCATGGTGGCACCATTGTTTGCTGTTCGTTTCCCCCAACCGGGCCATTCCAATGTCCACAGACAGCGCTGACGTCTGGTGCACATATCGCAAAGATTAACCTCACATATTTCCCTCGTACCACAATTTAAACCATTCACAAGAGAGCTGAGCATACTTCTAGCTTCCGCAAATGTGCAACACTGGCAGGCAATCCATCAACACCAGCACTGCTCAAGAAGCGCATTACACCAGACACAAAAAAAAATTGGAGGACGCCTACTTCCATCGTGACACAATTTAAAATCATTCACAAGAGGGCTGAGCATAATTCTATCTTGTGCAAATGAGCACACACAATCAGCAGATGGACTCCTCAAGATGAGCATACACCAGGAAAAACAGCGGAGGACGAGATTGGGTGTACGCATTTATTCAAAGCAAACTTCAGGCTCGAGCTCCATTGCAGAGCACAGCTTCTGACACTTCTACTAACACAAAGACGCTGTTTCTCTTTTCTTGGTAATTCAGAGAGCAGACGCTGCCCATTGTTTTACCAAACCGGTGAAGTTATGGCGGTTGATATATATCATATACTTGTGGGTGCACACATTCGCCGTGTGGTTAAAACAGATGGATGGAAAAAAAAGGGCAACACCCAAAAGCTCTGCTAAAATTGGAGGATGGTGGAGAAACTGATCTTGATGACCCCTGTCCAAATACCCCAGGCAGAAAGGTGCCAGAAACCCAAAAAAGGTCAAAACGCCGACCCACTCACACGCAGTCAGAAAGAGGTCGAATTCGAAAAAAAACTCTTGTGCACTCATGCCACAAAACTAGCAGCAATACTGTTTGTTTGAACAAATGTTCCACGGAAAAATAACGGCACCCACAAATTTACCTGCGCCTGCCGCTAAGGCCAGATTTGCAGCTTCCAAGGAACCGTCCCTGCCGCACAAGAAGAATGACAACAATGCACCGTTAGACCATACAGTGGAAAGGACACTGACGCGCTTGAGCTTACCCTACATGTTGCAGTTGCCACCCACAGACAGCGTCAATTATGTCCATACATGAAACAAGGACTTAGAAAAGAACAGGTAGCCTTAAATTGCTCAGATAATGGCCTTAAACCGCCTACACAGCCCGCCACCACACTAGAGCACTGGCTCGGCCTACCGGACCACAATGGCTGGTGGTGCCAGCCAAAAGCGAAACAAAGTGCGCCACCGGCGATTCAGAAAAGCTTGGTGCGTGGTAAGGCGCCTCCAGGCCCGGGTGTACTGGCGGTTTAAGGAAACAGAGCACAGAAAATCAGGACAAGGATCTGCAACTGAGGAACGGGGGGTTGAGAGCAAGTTACCGAGCACACGAAGACAAGGACCAACTGTCACACTACAAGTGGAATACCATCAGAACTTCCCCAACAGCAAGGTCATACATAAGCAGGTCGGGCTGGATATGGCATAGCGCACTCTATAAAGGAGGGGGGGGGTCAAAAATGTGGGGAGGTAGTAACATGGCATGTCGTATGTTATGTTTTATAAACATGTTTTGCTTTTCTTGAACCACCATTACTTGGCCCAGCTATCGGGCACGGGTGTTTCGCGTTAATGCGCAGCGACCTGCGGGCTTTATGGTACCGGACCACAATGGCTGAAGCGCCAGCCAAAAGGAAAACGACGGCAACCCAGCGGTTCGGTAAAACTTGGTGCGACGGCTATTATTTAGGGTGGGCATCGATAACTGGGCCAAGTATTGGTGGTTTAAATGAGGTATCCCTCGACGTGATAGCATCTCTCTGATTCCATAAGGGAGGGTTCAGGAAGAGAAAAGAAACAAAAATGAGCACGGAGTTGGGAAGGAGGAAAAAAGAGGAGGGAAAACGACCGCGGGCAGGCAAGGCTCACCACTTAGTGCCTTTCAGCCTCTTCATCCTTGCAGCAAGGGAGTACTGATCTTCTCTCTCCAGATCCTCAGCTTCAATCTTCCTTTCCGCAGCAAATCTCTCCTTCCTCCTTTTCCGGCCACGTCGTCCAGACTCCTCGTCGTCCTCGTCTTCATCATCATCATCTCCATCATCGATATTATTAGCATTACCATCATTACCACGCTTATTATATTCAACAAGCTTATCTTCGTTAGTTGCACCACCATCCTCACGCTCAACACCTTTTACATTAGTTTCTTCCGTACCTTCCGTAATCTGAGCCTCATCCACTGGTTTCCCTTCCTGTCCATCAACGTTGCTTGCTTCCGCCAAAGACGCTTCTTCTCTCGGTCCCCCCAAAGACTCCAACTGCTGTTTCCAGATTCCCATCACGCAAATGAGTTCCTCGTTCTCTCTCTCTCTCTCTCTCTCTCTCTCTCTCTCTCTCTCTCTCTCTCTCTCTCTCTCCCAAAAACATGCAAACCACTCAGAATAAAGACATGCATTTAGCCTGTTGACACAAACTTCTCAAACACAGCCATCAGATCGTCCAGCCTCATGTCATTACCATCCATCCTGATCTACAACAGCACTATCATCATGTTTCTCGTGATCACATTGGAGAATTTCGACCTACCATAGCTGTCCAGGGGCAGCCAACAACCATACCTGCAATCCTGCAATTGCCCCCAACAACCATACCTGTAATTGCCCACCTGTCCAACACCACCGGCCAACCACAGCTGTCCATGACTGGCCAGGAGTAGTACCTGCGAAGTTGTTCCCGTCCCACACACAGCCAAACCCAACCTGCCCTGCCCTGCCTTGCCCACCCCCCCCCCGTACCCAACCTGTTCTAACACCCCAATCCCCAGGAACAGCTCAACTTAATCCACTCTCATTCAAGCATGCCAGGTGTCAAATGCTGTGTGAAAAGACCAACTACCCACCTCCACTTACACCCACCCCACCACCGGCAAATCGTTCATTTCAATAAGGTGAGACTGAAACAGCCACAAATAGAAATTCACAACCCCAATCTGTTCCAGACATAAGGAAGGGCAAGGAGGCTGTGTGGAACGAGACTGTCCAAGGGAAGGGTCAACATGTACCTCCAGTCCGTTGGTTGAAACACACTGAACATGAGGACACACGAATGCAACAACCATACGCACCGCCCATGGAAACTACCACTGGCGTAAACTAACACCATCAGCACCTCAGAATATACGTACACTACACCTGTCTTGCACCAAGGACCCACCCCACCTCCAATGGAACTAGAGGTTGCACCAAGGACCCACCCCACCTCCAATGGAACTAGAGGTTGCACAAGGGCCCACCCCACCTCCAATTGAACTAGAGGTTGCACCAAGGACCCACCCCACCTCCAATGGAACTAGAGGAGAAACTGGACAACAAACTGAACCAGTGGTGTAAACTAATGAAGGTTCGAACATGCTCTCAACCTGAGGCCCATCTTCAGGCAACAACAGAAAAAATAGGCCTACCGTTAGCGCCCTACAACTATGGAGACTGAAACCCTCGCCACCTCGCCTCCAATATACAGCTACCAAAGAGGCCAACAGAACAGCAATACCATGCTACAGGTAACAAGCCATCCCACATTCTCAGGCCATCAACTGAAACATTAAGAGTCAAACAGCTATCATGATGACATACGTCAATAATCAAAAGCCCCACATGATAAGGAGCACAGTGGTGTTGCTCAGCAAAACATAACGCTGCCTAGAAGGAGGACCTATCAGTTCCATATAAGCTAACGGAACAGTAAAACCCATGGGCATCCTCCGTCGGTCTGGTAGCCCTTTACGTCCCTCCAGCACTAAACCTCGGTGCATTGCACACTCCCTCCTTGCTTCACAGTGACACATATCTAAACACCAGGCCCTGTGAACCTGCGGGCCGCAGCCGAACCCGGCAAAGAAGGGAAGTCGTACATCTACATGACGCAGCAAAAGCTGAAGCATTTCCTACCAATCCCTCTGTCAGTTACACAGCGTTGAAACAGTCTCCTATTCGTTTAGTTCTCAAGGATAAAAGCAACACTAGTTTTGTCAAACAAAAGCCAACATGTTATCTTTGATCGAAGCCCGACCGGCCAAACATGACACTTGCTGGTGCCTATGGGCTGATGTTACTTGATGTCAACGTTCTTTGCAACAACCGACCTCGATCTGAGAACACGCTTCGTTCAAGATGGAGCACAAAGTGGAAATGGAAGGACGGAAAAATCTCTAGTTCCTAGCCGTAGGAGGAGAGAGAAAAACACCCCAAACGCTCAAGAGGGCTGAGCGTGCAACTAGAAACAACATCCTAACAGCAAGAATACAACCAGTATCCGTACTCGGGGTGGAAACCTGTTCAGAATGTGTCGACATTTGATGCAGCCGGGGACTACATTAGGTTGGTGCAGTCGGTCATTTAGTGAATGCCTGTTCAGAATGTGTCGACATTTGATGCGGCCACACACTTGCCCTTGCTTGCCACTGCAACAGCACTCACTATAACCCAAAAGCCAAACTTGCACCAGGGGGTCACCTCCTAACCTACACACCCAACGAGAGCTCGGGGCCCCGCCATCCACCCCAATCAAGTGGCCACTGCAACACCACCAGAACCTACAATCTAGGAAATGCCTTAAATCAGAGTTCCACTAATATCACCGAGTCCCAATCATACTGGCAAACGCCTACTCTACGTCCTGCTTGCGGAGTTAATGCCCTTAACTTCCCATCCTACTTTCTGCTATGGTACTTTCTTACCAACGTGAAGTGCTCTACATTTCCTGGTGTGTACAGCCTACTTTCATGGCGCCACAACCCTTTCGTAAACGCCCTTGACTTTTGTCAGATTGTTGGACTACCCACCAGATCCAGAACAAGAAAACAAGAAACCAAACAATCGTAATGCGCCGACCGGGGATCCTGGCAGTGGCAACAATCGTAAGGTGGCATAATGGCATATTCTCCAACACTGTCAAACCCACGAAAACCTTCACAGACTAATCATGTTGCTCTTCATTGATACCTAACTGGGCCTACGTGCCTCGTTCACTACCTTTCCTACACACACACGCACACGTGCGTACACACACACACACAGACACACACACTGACACACACACACACACGTACGCACGTGCACCCCCAGTCGAAAGATTTGAGTACAGTACTTCAGAACGGCATGCACACATGAACACACGTGCACATATAGGCACGCGTACAGCAGTTGATTTCTGTTCTTCATAACACACACACACACACACACACACACACACACACACACATCTTAGGAGTTCCTTTCTGTGCTTTAGAACAAAGCAGTGTCCTTTTACAAACGCTGCTAAGCTTCTGTTATTCCCGTGGAAGCAGACGTCAGCGGGCAGCCATTCCCACAGGGCCTATGGCACTTTCACACTATCGGGGACCCAATTAGCCCTTATAAGCTGGGGGGGGGAACACCAAACGGCCATACACTCGTGCAGCTAACCAGGTATGAACGACCACAGCACAACCAGACATTCGCCAGCTATCACATGCGCCCTATACGACACACGCACACATATATACTGTCAAGGACAACTACCAGGTGAACCGTAGGCAGAAGGGGAGAAAAAGGACAAGAAACGGGAGGCTGTGACAAAACGTTACATCAGACTTCGCCGACTCATCAGGGGGGTGAAAATATATAATACAGACAGACGTCACTCTAAATATAATATATAATATATTTAGCAAATTTTTCAACCAATCAGCTTGGGGTATGTAGAAGCCCATAGATCACGAGGTATGTGTATAAGGCATATGAGCTATGCAAATGGGATCTATGTAGAAGCAGTATGTACATAGATGTTACAGGCAGTTCTATCTCAATCTGAAGAACCGCTCAATCGACCAATTCTTTAACCGAACAGTATTTCCACCAGCACAGTCCGATTGCCACTCTGACGACCCCACAACCCCTACAATTGCAGGCATTGCATTTCATGGATATACCTCCACGGCAGGACGGACGTGTCATCAGCAGGCTGCTCCGCTCTTTCTCGAGATGAACGCACAGAGAAGCAGCAATCCATCGCCGTCACTGAAGTTCAAACCTTGACCCTTTATACCGATCTCGAAGTCCACAGCCATTGCCTGCCTGAAGTTGTGACGCGAGAGAGAACGAGCACAAGGAAGTCGACGACAAAACCAAGCTGCTCCCGTTTTCCATTCTCTAGTAATGTCGACTGAGCAGGCCAACAACGGTGCTTTCACTCGCGTTCTTCTGCTCCGAATGTGCGCAAGCTGACAATATCCTTCCATGACTGCTAACTCTCATTTGCCTCTCTCAATAAACGAGGCCATAAGACAGTCGTCAAAATCGAGCTGCTCCCGCCTTCCATTCCACGGTAACGTCCGCGGTAATGTCGAGTGACCAGGCCAACAATGATGCTTTCACTTGCAATCTTATGTTCCCCCTGTAAGCAAGTTGACAGTAGGCTTCCATGGCTGCTACTCTCATTGTCTCTGTCAATAGAAAGAGGACACAACAAAGTCGCCAAAATTGAGCCGCTCCAACCTTCCATTCCGGGCGCAAAGTCGAGGAATCAGGCCCAACGACGGTGCTTCTTACCTCACTTGCAAGCTTGTGTTAAAGTCGAGTGACCAGACCGCCAACAGCGGTGCTTCTTAACTCACTTGCAGTCTTGTGTTTCCGTTGTGCGCAGGTTGTTATTAGGCCCATGACTGATATACGCTCATTACGTCGTCTGCCAATAGCAATTTCCTTTGACAGATCATGCATATTTAACATCGCTCAATTTCGGAAGAGGACTGCAGCGCCAGCAGAACCGACAGCCATCCTCATACCAGCACACGACAACAGCTTCCCCCCACGATCGACACGCCTAACACCCGCCACCCACACACCCAGCCATCCCTTCAACAGCCCTACCACCATCGACCTCTCGTCTCCAAACCGGCTGCTGAACAGCCCTCACGTTTGGAATCCCCTTGCAAGAGGCCTACCGATGGCAATGTCCAAGGGTAATACGTTCTCAAATGCACAGCCCGACACTTGGTGGAGGAGAAAGCAACCGCAGCGAAGTAAAGAAAGGCGAGAGAGACAGAAGTAGAGCAGAGTGCAGGGAACAGGATGCCATGCGTGCAAGCACACAGCACCCCTAAAGATCTTCCATCGAAGATCATTGACTGTTACCACCAAGATCGACGGTGAGAGGAGAACGGGGAGTTGCAAAATGAGTTGAACCCAGAAATGAGTTGAACCCAGAAACACTTCAAGAACGCGCACAGGCACAGTTTTCCTTGAGCTGTTTATAAGTGTCCCCCCCCTTCTAGTGTCGAGTT